GTGAGTGTGTGTGAGCGTGAGTGCGTGTGCGCAGACGCGTGTGCACCAGTCTGGCAACCCCGCAGGGACACAAGCTCGCAGCCCCACGAACAAGCCCCCGGGGCCCCAGGCACGGTCCGGGGCGGCTCACCCCGGAAGCAGCCGAGCTCTGCTTGGTCCCAGGGTGACCGCGGCCAGGGCCAGTGACGCTCCGCGGATCGGCCTCCAGGACGAGCTGAAGGACAAGCTCTCGAACACAGGGGTGGACGCCGGGCCCCGAGCGCGTCCCGATGACCCAAAAGCGCGATCCCTGGGCAGAGGAAGCCGGTGGGGCGCCCCTCGCCCGGGGCTGTGGGGCAGCCCCTGCCCCCGAGCCCCCCTCCCCTCCAACCTGACGGGGAGCCCTGCCAGGGTGCACAGTGCTGACTTCACTCCTGCTGCCCCGAGCGGAGTGGACTGAGCTCCCTCGGGGGCTGGGGGCGCCGGTCACGAGGACGGGACCGGAGCCAGACAGGCCCGCGCCCTTGGCTGTGAGCCCCCGTGACCGTAGGTGACCGTAGGTGACCCCTAGGTGAGGGGAGCGGGGTCTCCACAGGGGTGCATGGGACCAGGGCCCCCGCGTGTCGGCTGCTCACGGAGGGGGAGGGGGCGGCCAAAGACTGAAACGCAGCCAGCCGCCCCGGCCTCAGGGAGCCCCGCCGTGCCTGCTGCTCCGAACGCTGTGAGCTCCCAGCTATTTATTAGTTAAAATTTTAATTATATGAATCATGCCACCGGGGACGCGAAGTCATTAAAAATTAAGGAAAGACTACGGATTCCTGTTCTCGAGTGGGTTCTCCCAGAGCTCACCCAGGTAGCAGATTAGTTCCAGTGTGCACGCCTGCAGGACAAGCCCAGGACTGGGGGCTGCGAGTCAGCACAGAGACGCCCCAAGGAGCGCCGCAGGCTCGGCACCCAATGGGCACTGGCGCACCCCAACCTCCACCGCCCAGCCCAGAGAAAGGCAGCAAGAACCGAGACCGGTGACCTGGGTTAAAGTCCCAGATGTGCCCCCCGCAGGAATAAAAACACCGGTGCAGCGAGCTGGGGGTCGGGGGGAGGCTCTGACCCCACGGCAGTTGGGGTGCCCAGCCGGGCGCTGCTCTCCTCCCATGCAACGGCTGGGCGACGTCTGGTGAGGCCTTCAAGGGTGACACGTGTTTTACTGGCTCCCCCGCCCCTGCCCAGCAGGTCTGACCTCCAGGTCACGCGCGGCCTTTCCAGCATCTCACATGCTAGAGGCTGAGTGACCTGCTCGGGGCCTCCGCGGCCAGGGAAAGCCCCTGGGGAAGCGCCCGGCTGGGGAAGATCGGGGAAGTTGCCCGGGGAGGTTCGGAAGTGACCA